AGAGGGGGCGGGGTCTCAATGAGCCCCTCATTAACTTTCATTCATCTCTGACCTCATTAACCTCTGACCTCGTTAACCTGACTTCTTTAACGTCTGATCTCATTAACCCTGCTGACCTCATTAAGCTCTGATCTCATTAACCCCACTGACCTTGTTAACCCAGAGCTCCTTTATTAACCTCATTAACCTCGTATCCCATTAACCCTGCTGACCTCATTAACCTCATTAACCTCTGATCTCATTAACCCTGCTGACCTAAGCTCTGATCTCATTAACCCCACTGACCTCGTTAACCCAGAGCTCCTTTATTAACCTCATTAACCCTGATGACCTCATTAACCTCAGATCTCGTTAATCTCCACCTCAGCATCCCCCAGCACCCAACAAGCCTTAATGAGCCCCCACCAATTAACGAGCATTAATGAGCTCCCCATCCCCTAACGAGCCTATGCAGGTCCCTAATGAGCCTTAATGAGCTGCCCATAATTAATGAGCCTCTGCACAGGTCCCTAATGAGCCTTAACGAGTCCCCACAACCAAAACAAGGCCAACATTGGGGTCCCCCCCTGCTGATCCTGGGGACCCCCCAGCTCCTCCACCATTCTACTGAGGCTAATGAGCCTAACGAGCCCAATCAGCCTAATGAGAGTAATGAGCCTAACAAGCTTAATGAGCTCTAATAAGACTAATGAGCCTTAATGAGGCCCTGCCACCTGCTGCCCCTCACCTGCTGACCCCTGGGGACCCCCAAGCTCCTCCACCATTCTAATGAGCCCAATGAGCCCTAATGACCTCTAATGAGCCCAACGAGCCCTAATGACCTCTAATGANATATGGCCCAGGGGGGAGGGTCCCTTATGGATTCTATAAGGCCCCGGGCAGTTCCTATGGATTTTACAGGGCCCAGGGGTCCCCTATAGATCCTATATGGCCCTGGGGGGTTCCTGTGGCAGCCAGGAGGGTCTCTATGGATTCTATACAGTCCCCATACAACCCTATGGATCCCATACATTCCCTATGGATCCCTCATGGATCCCATGCATTCCCTATGGATCCCATACAGGGCCCATGGATCCTGTATGGCCCTAGGCAGTCCCCTATGGATCCCATACATTCCCTATGGATCCCATACATTCCCTATGGATCCCTCATGGATCCCATACATCCCCTATGGATCCCATACATTCCCTATGGATCCTGTATGGCCCTGGGCAGTCCCCCATGGATCCCATACATTCCCTGTGGATCCCATACATTCCCTATGGATCCCACGCATTCCCTAAGGATCCCATACATTCCCTGTGGATCCCATGCATTCCCTATGGATCCCACACATTCCCTATGGATCCCACACATTCCCTATGGATCCCACACGTTCCCTATGGATCCCATACGTTCCCCCATGGATCCCATACATTCCCTATGGATCCCATACATCCCCTATGGATCCCATGCATTCCCCCATGGATCCCACGCGTTCCCTATGGATCCCATACATTCCCTATGGATCCTGCATGGCCCTGGGCAGTCCCCCATGGATCCCATACATTCCCTATGGATCCCATACATTCCCTATGGATCCCATGCATTCCCTATGGATCACATACATTCCCCCATGGATCCCATACATTCCACCATGGATCCCACACATTCCCTATGGATCCCACACATTCCCTATGGATCCCATACATTCCACCATGGATCCCACACGTTCCCCCATGGATCCCACACATTCCCTATGGATCCCATACATTCCACCATGGATCCCACACATTCCCTATGGATCCCACACATTCCCTATGGATCCTGTATGGCCCTGGGCAGTCCCCTATGGATCCCATACATTCCCTATGGATCCCATACATTCCCTATGGATCCCACACATTCCCTATGGATCCCATACGTTCCCTATGGATCCCACACGTTCCCTATGGATCCCATACATCCCCTATGGATCCCATACATTCCCCATGGATCCCATACATTCCCCCATGGATCCCATACATTCCCTATGGATCCCATACGTTCCCCCATGGATCCCACACATTCCCCCATGGATCCCATACAGTCCCTATGGATCCCATACATTCCCCCATGGATCCCATACATTCCCTATGGATCCCATACAGTCCCCTATGGATCCCATGCATTCCCTATGGATCCCATACATTCCCCCATGGATCCCATGCATTCCCTATGGATCCCATACATTCCCTATGGATCCTGTATGGCCCTGGGCAGTCCCCCATGGATCCCACGCATTCCCTATGGATCCCATACATCCCCTATGGATCCCATACATTCCCCCATGGATCCCATACATTCCCCCATGGATCCCACACGTTCCCTATGGATCCCATACATTCCCTATGGATCCCATACAGTCCCCTATGGATCCCATACATTCTCCCATGGATCCCATACATTCCCTATGGATCCCACACGTTCCCTATGGATCCCACACATTCCCTATGGATCCCATACATTCCCCCATGGATCCCATACATTCCCTATGGATCCCATACATTCCCTATGGATCCCACACATTCCCTATGGATCCCATACATTCCCTATGGATCCCACACAATCCCCCATGGATCCCATACATTCCCTATGGATCCCACACA